TTGTTAGTTAATTTGGTTAGTTTTGTTAGTTTGCTGGCTGGAGTTATTGTCCAGAGTTATTTCCTGAGAAGCTTATATATCATGAGTTAATTATGTTGTTAGCTGCACTTTACTATCATGAATAAATATCCCAGAGAATAAATTGAAGTTTTAAATTTAAATTTTGTCAAAGATGGATACTGTAACATGACTTTCCAGAAAATCTACCAAATAACAGAATCAGGAACACTAAATCAATATTAGCTGGAGTAGGTGAATTAGTTCAACAAGCAAGAATAACTAAGAAAATCGTTAGTAATTTTAATTAATGCCTGGTTATAGCAAAGGCTATGAAAGGCTATGCATCCTGGAATATATTGTTCACTGATGATAATAATGGCATTTTTCTTATGTGGAAACTCCTTTGGGAAGTAATGAAAGACAATAGTATTTGTGCCTGTTGTTCAGGTGAGCCACAGACAGATTTCACATATTCTAAGTTAATGTAAGACATACTGATGTATAATTTATACACTACATATAAAGAAGTGCATTTCAATAAGATCTTTATTTGATTTACTGTTCTCTCTGTCAAGGGCATTAAATGTCAGAAGCTATATTCTGTGCTTTTTTTGTGGCTAGCTAATAAATTTTCTGTTTTTTGTCATCTTTTTAAAACCTGTGTGAGAATGAATAGATTTATTGCATGAGCTGACCCATGGTAATGAGAAAAAACAGCAACACAAAGATTGAGCTGCTGTCGAATGACCCCTGGCCTCCATCGTAAACCAGTCTGAGTGTACTGGGATACTTAACCTGAAAATGAGAAGCAGAGATTGTCTTCCCTCCCCCTGTGTCTCTCCTCTATCCTTCACCCTGACTCCATCTCTCTCCCTCCCCCAATTCTCTTTCACACGCATGAACATTTTACTGACTGCGTGGGTGTGGTGGTGATGCGATGAGTTGTGGTGCATTGTGGGTAGCAGCAGAGACCGCCTCGTGTTTCTATAAATAGGGACTCCCACTGCATCTCGTGCTCACAGGCTTACGGTTATTTGTCACTGTCACATGACTCCCTTCTGCACGTTGAAGGGCTGTATCTGCCTGTCCTTTCTATTCCCATTGTTGTAACCTGAATGCATGAATGAAATATAAAGGAAAAGGATTTAAAGGAAAATCATGACAGGATTTAGAGTGATCCTGACTATTCAGGGTCATTGCTCAGCAGGTACTTATTTTCTTGTAGTAAGTGGTGCCCTCTTCTGCCAAATTATAGGTATTGCACTTATGTAGTCGCTACCTAATTTCATAATTTATCTCTTAACTATTACATATATTGACCTGATGAAAATAATATCAATAGTGGGACAAAACACAGAAAGACATGAATGAAAAATGTTGGCTAATTGATTGATTGAAATAATTGTTTGGTTGTGTTATGAGAAATGTCCAAAGTAATCAGAAAGCCAGCGCAGATTGATTTTGACTAAGTTGTTTTGTCTATTCATTCAGCAGGAGCAGTACCAGGACTACGAACCAGAAGCATAAACTGCACCCTCCAGCTTTTGGTTGACCAGCAGCACAGTAAAGATTATAATAATAAAAGGACAAATAACAAAACCGTCACCGTAACCCCTGTTGCAAAAAAATGTTCCCCAAGGATATGTTCTTCCTGAAAGAAAAAAGATCTTTTAAATGATAATATATTGTAATGATATATTGTAAATGTCACGTTTTTTCTGTGATGTGTTTGGTCCTAGTTCTTCACTGAAGACGTATTCAGTCAGGTCTCATTTCCTTGCTTCCCTCCCAATGAAATGAGACCTGAGGTTGGCTTGTGCTCCTTTGTGTACTTGTGTTTATATCTGTGATATAGATGTTTCTTATCTTCCAATAAAAACCCCAGTGGACAGCAAAACTGCATTTATAAGTATATGAGAACAGTGATCCTCTATAGCTGTGTAAAATGCCTGTAAGTGGGTTCATTTTCATTTAATAATTATACAAGTTGTTCATTTGATGTTGCACATGCTAGAATTTTATACATTGTATCTTTACAGTTTCTTGTGAAATCATTCCATTGAAGCATCTGTTACACATGGATGAAAAACTATATATGTATATAAATGTATGTGTGTGTGTGTGTGTGTGTGCGTGTGTGTGTGTGTGTGTGTGTGTGTGTACATGTGTGATTTTAATACAGGTTAAAGTTGATGTAGCTAAATGTGTTTTAAAGTAATACTGAGTGTTAGTAAAATGTGATTTACAATGCAAGAATTGTCAGCATTATGGTCTATATGTCAGGCAAGACAGGTATCAAATGTAAATAATAAAGATTGAAAACAATTTGTGTTTTACGTTTGTTCTGTGTGTTTTGATTTTCTCAACCCATAGATTTCCAAAGTAGTTTCACAAGAAACTCATTGGACAATGTGGCTTTTATTGTTTACAGGATGCTTGGCCATGTCTAAAATGCTGACATATGGCACAACTTCGACAGAGGGGCTAAATTTTAGAATGCCACTTTAATCCGCGGCCGTGAAAAGTTTCACATGCATAATCAGTTTGACGTGTGTAAGCCTGGCACAGCAGGTCAGTGGCTGGGGGTATTAAATCGGCATTTCCACCTCAAACATTCCTGCTGCCCAGTCAGAAGAGCTGCTATACAGCTGAGCAGGATGGCCTCTGGCAGGACGTCTTTGGAAGGGCTCAAAAACATCACCCAGACATCCAGCAAAGCTGGAACAGACTCTGCTGGTAGGTTCTTTGCCATTCTGGAAATATGTTTTTGTCAAACTCAAAAAATCATCCTAAAATAGAGGAATCAGGAGCACTGAGTTTTTTTTCTGCATAACAGAACAAGCACATATCTTATAATTAATTAAAACACAGAACTTGGTGGCAGCCTACTAGCATAACATAACAGTGCTTTGTAAGTATTTTAATTTTTGTGTAAACTTGAAGGACAATAGCTAGCGTCATTGTTTATTGAATTTTTGCTTTTCCTTTTAATCAAAATAGGTTAATATGATTAATGAGAAAAATTGCAGATTTTGAACATCAAGGTTTAAAATCAAATGAAATACATTTAAGGTGATAATACTAATATGTAAAATAATGATTCAGGTATTCTTTATATATTTGTATCACCCCTGTAGCTGAAACGGAAGTAAAAGGTCCTCTCTCCTTCTCTTTTAAGTTCAGGTGGTGCAGGACACTGTGCAGAAGGTGGCAGAATCTGCCAAGGAAACAGCCAGCGCTGGTATTCACCACGTCACTCGCTGAACAGTCATACACTTCCAGGACGTACCAGCGCTGGTATTCACCACGTCACTCGCTGAACAGTCATACACTTCCAGGACGTACCAGCGTTGGTATTCGCCACGTCACTCGCTGAACAGTCATACACTTCCAGGACGTACCAGCGTTGGTATTCGCCACGTCACCCGCTGAACAGTCATACACTTCCAGGACGTACCAGCGTTGGTATTCGCCACGTCACCCGCTGAACAGTCATACACTTCTAGGGCATCACTGGCTGAATATCCATGTCAATAGAACATTAATTGCTCTAGTTAGTTATCTAAAATCAGTACCACTTTACAATAAGGCTCCCTATTGCCACTAATAAATGGTAGTAACTGATTAACTGCTATACCTTCTTTATAATCGTCTATTAATGATTTACAAAGTGTTACAACCAAAATAATAAGCTAATTATAAACCATTCATAACCCCTTTATAAGAGTATTTTTATTGCAAAGTGGTATTCTATCTTGTATATTTCTCTTCTAATCCTTGTATTGGGGCAGAGGTGGGGGGAAGTGTTTGCTGGTAGATCCAGGTTGGAAGGACGTCCCATAATACCTCTACTCTCCTCAGCAATGAGTATTATACACATGCTTTATTTCTGTTACACCTCATCATAGTTACATGTTGTTCAGAAATCTTAATTTAACTTATGGTCTCTGACTACATCATTCAAACCACGTAACCATACTCCATATGAACTGCCTGTTCAGAAAATCAGCAGAAATGCTCCCAAAAGCTTTTGGTGGTACTTTTACGCTCATGTGAAAGTTATAAATGTGAAGGTTTACTGTGGTGTTTGATATGTCATAATCAGTTCCTCCCCTGTTGTGTCACCTCCTACAGTTGCAGATGAGGCCTCCAGACAGATGCAGACTGCCATAGACACAGCAGCAGGAACAGCAAGTGATGCTATCGAGGATTTTAAACAAAAACTGGATCCAAAGTGAGCCCAGTTTCTGAAGCATTCTCAATCAGAGAATTCCACGTGACCTTTAGTCATATTCAAGAAGGAATTCAAGCTGAATATTTTCCTGTTCAATAGTATGATTCTTTCTTCTTTCTCCCTCATGAAGGTTGGTAGTTTAAGGTCACGAATAATATGGATTCTTCTTCATTTCAGTTAAAAGAAAATGCTACTGTTTTTAATAAACGTTTGAATTCAGAAATAAATAGTTTGACAACAAAATTTGATAGTTAATGCATCAAATTATCAAACAACTTGCTAAGGATATTCAAGCTCTTTTATAAAAGAATGACCACTTGTTGTCAAGTTACAGTAATATCCATAGAAAATTTTGTGTTTTCTATTTGCATAGTTGGATAATAAACTTCACTATCTTATTGTTGACTGTAACTGTTACTTTCTTCAGTGAGTATTCCAAAGCAGGTTCCAATTTAGGAAAGAAAAAGATCAGGATGTAATCAAAAGTTTCCATCTATCTCCCTTTCCCTTATGAATTATTTGGTTGATAACCGAAGATCTTCAGAGAGCAAAGACCACATAAAACTGAAAAACCCACAATCACCTCTAAACATTAAAGTTAGGGCTGGCTAGGGGTTAAGGTTGTCATTGTTAGGATTAGGGTATTTGACATAGAAATAAATGGATGGTCCCCACATAGATATGAATACAAATGTGTGTGCATGTACATATGTGGTCATGATAATAATCCACAAATAATAATCACAAATAATAATCCAGCTAGATGTTAATGGTTTCAGTTATTTTTTTTTATGTCATCACAGTTTTTTCAAATGTTCTTGCAGAACATTTCTGCTTAGGGAATTAGTTTGCAAAATCAAATTCAGGGAAAAAAGCCAAAGTCTAATGAGGTTTAAAAAAAGATTCATTTTTTTCTGCCCCAACTGACTGGATAACAGGACTTGTTGTCCTTATCTGGAAAGGGAAGGGTGTTCGTCTGGACTGCAGTAACTGCAGTAACTCGACCCAGTTGATCAAGTTGCCCCGTGGGACATCGTCAGTCTTCACAGGATCCCCCGAAGTTACTGGACATCATGGCCGGCCTGTACACTGGAGACAGATCCTTTGCGTTCATCTGATTTGATTTTGAGGTTTATCAGGGGGTATGTTCTTGCTTCTACTCTGTTCAGTGCTTGCATGGGTTGGGTGTTGGGCAGAGTCATGGGGTCCAGCAGTTATGGGGCATTTGTTGGTGAAGAAAGATTCACTGATCTTAACTATTTTGTTGTATCGCTGCGAGACATAGATGCTATCCAGTGACCTGAGATGAAGGCTAGACTCTTTTGGTACTGTGTCTCTTTGGAGAACCCTTGGGTACCACTGTTACTGTATAACTTTGTACTGAAAGAGCAGTTGCACAAGGAGTCTCGATTGAGGTATATTATCTACATTGAGAGGGAGCATGACTTACGGAACCACTTCGCGTGATTCCCTGAGGGGGATCCGGCTTGCAAGATCTTCACTGCTGAGTGGCTGGACCAGGCCAAGGGGACGCCCATGTAACACCTGGCTGTGGCAGATACATCCATTTCCGGAGGGTGGTCGCCAGCTGGGATCCCCAGTTTCATCGTGTGGTGGGTGCGGTGATGCGCGGTACCCGTGCATGCTCCCCAGCCTGACCTTGGTCTGTACCTATTCTTGTAAAAACCTCACACTACAGTTATTTATATTTATAAGTATTTCATATAAAAATCACATTATAAAAACAAATTGCTTCATAATTTGCATTTCTCTCATCTTGTATATTGTTAATGGCTGGAAGGGAGACATTTCAGCTACTTACACAAAGGTACTTCTTACAATATGATTAAAATGTGTGTGATTCTATGACAAAGACCTTACAAAATGCCTGAATTATAAGTAAATGAAATGGATGAGCACTTGGATATTGACTACTATTCATGATCTATCAGTCATGCAATAACATTTTAACTGTGCCAGTGTGGTGGTACAAGCTGTCATGCTGTTAGATTACAAATATTTAAAATATTGATTTATAGATTAATAGTTACCAAGAAGCAACGGACTGAGAAATAATCACAAGCGTAATCACAATGGAAACAAGCTTGATCCTTGGTAGGTGCTTTTTTCTCAGCTGTTTACCCACTAGACTCTCACATGATGACGTCCACTCATCCACACTGCTGGTTGCTAGGAAACAGGATTCTCTGTGAGAACTGGGATTGGAGGAGATCGAGGAGTTGATGGTGAGACCACGACTGACAGAAACAGCACATTTAGGTCAGACTATGGCTCACGAAAACTGTTATAGAAAAACAAGACTTACTCAACTTCTTTATGGTCAAAAATAAACTTAACCCGGCATCTATCTGATTTAAATGACATATAATCTAAAGCAAATTATAGCTACACACTCAATCCCTTTATATAGCCAAATGTTGTTTTCACTTCAACAATTTAAAATAAGAACTTTACTCAATGGTCATATTTTTTAATTGCCATTTTAGCTATTTTATTAAATGCAGCATGTAATTACCCATTTTGGTTATGCATTCTTTGCTTCAATGAGTAAAGCAGAACAATTAGCTTTCTTATTCAAATAGACTGAGTCTAAATGTGTCCCTTAGGTACAAAATGTGAAAATGCTTGGATGAGTCCTGCTGGGTGTGTTCACATTTTAAATGTGTGTTTCTTACCTTTCCAATCACAATGACAGAGACAGTACACATGTATGGACATGGTGCATAATTAGTCTGACTCGGCACAGCTGTGAGGTGGATTTGATTCTTCGTGACATAATAATTTGCAGCTTGCTCTTTATGGATTTTAGATGCCAGCAATCAGAATTCCTTTTCCTGCTATTGATTCCCTGACTGTTATTTACATTCAAATGCCCAGATCCTAACAATGAGTGTAATTGTAGGTGCCTTTGGAAGTGTAAGCTGAGCCACAAAACAAAAACCATGTGGTAGATTAATGTACTGGTTAAACTCATATCCAAATGAGGTTATATCCAAATGGTGACTAGAATTCCCTTCCATAAGCCCAATAAAGGTGCCCTTTCCCTGCTCACTAAATATCAGTATGTGCTTCATCATCCCATTGTATAACAAGATTCATTAAAGCAATTCTTCTGCTCAAAGAATTTGCATTTGTTTTCTTAAATAATTTTCATAAATGGACAGGAATCGACAAATTTGATTCACAAACATACTGTACTAATATGAAAACAAATAACAGCATTTTGTGTAACCAAATCACTTCTGTATCATCTGTATGTGAGAGTTACCAGATGCTCATAGAAACACAGGGGAAGCATATAAACCTCACACACAGGGAGCTGTGGACAAATCCAGCAACTCTAGAGGAGTCTGGCAACTAAAATACACTGAGGCACATGCCCAGGATACGAGTTTATTTCTATTTCTAGAAATATACCCCTTTGCTTTTGTTACCTTCAATAGCTGGAATCAAGACAGGAATGGCAAAGTGCTGAGTTTAATATTTTTTAACAAGTTACGTAGAATTTGAATGCTGTCAGTTTAAATAAACACAAAGCGTACTTCCAAAAAATCTTTCACTGTTACAGTAACTTATTTAATTTTCAAATCTGTATGTTTTTTTAGAATTCTTGCAAATGCAAACTTACTAACAGTGGTTTTGTAGGGTAATTTTACGCATTAAAGGGAATGATGCATTAAAAATCTAAAACTAGGGAAGTTTAGAATAAAAAACATTTTGGTTATGTGCTGTATGGTACCAGTTAAAATAATATATATTCTGTTATTTAAGCCAATCAAATTTTTAAAATAAACACCATTCTAAATGATTTTGTGGTCAAATCTTGTATATGACAAACTATTGATCGATATAAATAAGAATAAAAAAATCATGCATGCAAATGAACTGGCAGCTTAAAGAGACCATTCTTCGATTACCATTCACTGCCAGGTTGAAGCTGGTTTCCAGGGAGACAGCAACCAGAAGCTTTAAATTCTCTCTTCCACAGCAACATCTAAGGATTTTCCGAAAGATCTTTCTAGCACACCGATCTTACCTTGGCAAACTGCTGCTGTTTATTCGGAAACAACAAAAGGCAACATCATAAGCCGCCGGCGAAATAGGAAGAATAAGAGGAGTTCTGCAAAAATGGAGGCTCATTTCTCTCAGCTCATCTATTTGCTGAGGTATGTACTGTATCAGTTATGCATATAGTACCTCAAATGCTGGCAAGTCAAATTAAAATGCTAATTATATTTAACCAAATATTTTCTGTGTACTTATTGGAAAATCCTGATGTATAATCATATATACAATTAATCTGTATATATTAATTTTATCGATAACGGAACATTTCTTTGGATGGAAGGCATATTACCTTTGGTTTCCATGGTATTTTTAAAATAGAAAGTACAACACTTCTGTGGAGGACAGACATACAAGACATATTTCCTAGTTATTTTTTTCAGTCTTGTTAATCAACTTATTTGAACTAACTGGTTATGTACTCATTATTTTCTTCAGAAAATTTGATGTGTTTCATGCCATTGTAGAGGTATTTCTTAGATTGACAGGTTATTTTGATAAATAACCTGATGCCCTTTTCCGTTGCTTTATCCAAGGATGAAAAGCTATAAGTATAATTAAATATTTTAAATAAATATTACATTTATTAGAATTAGAAAACATAATGTCATATTTATGATATGGTATAAATACAAATTTATTCTATTGCCAAATAATTAATAAATTAGCCTTAATATATATATTATAGTGGCAGCTGTGAATTGCAATGGATTTTTTTTTCACTTAGCTATGGTTTCAAGTAAACATATTTTCACAGTTATATGTTGGGGATTGGTTTAAAGGTACATTTGTCAGTTTAAACATAATGTAATCCTTCAATTAAGCTGCACAGAGAGTATCAGTTTCTCCATATGAATGTTTTTTTTTTTCCAGGAAAAATGGTTTTCCCATGTAGAAACCATATCAGAGTTGCTGATGGTATACAAATAGGAAACTACCAAGGCTTGATTGGCAGTTTAAAAGAAGTCCATTCCAGGTTCTGATGGAGGGTCCTCTTGTAGCAGAAACGACATCAGACATCAGTCCCCTCATATGCGAAGGAATCGTGAGCTGTAATATGAACCCAGTCTCGAAATTACCCAACTTTGATGAGACTGAAGACAAATGCAGCACTGGGAAGCCCCAGTGTACAGTTAACGAGATGGACAGGTCTTCAAAAGATGCTGAAATAACCTCTTCATCGGTAATGGCTCAACTGGAACAAACAGAAGCGTCAGACTCCCAGGATCACACAAATATTAATCGAAGAGCAAAGGAGGTTAATTTTAATTTACCATCAATAGAAATCAATGAATACACCGAAGAGAACGCCATGACTATATGTGAAATGGATAACGTAAAGGGCAGCGAAATAATAGATTGTGATCGGCAGGTTAGTCAGTGTGCTGATTTAATCAGTCAAGGTTCTAACCATGACTCCTCATTCAATGGGAAAGATGTCAGCGATAATTCTTTGCCATCGGGCTCCAATGGATGTGAGACTAATACTTCAAATCATTATGGTATACACGATGTTGATGTAGGACTGCCATTTAATGATTCATCTTTTAGTGAAAACATGGAAATCACAAGCCTTCAAAAAGGCAAAGGCAACAACATAGGGTTCAGTGACTTAGTCACCTCCAAACATTATGAGTCTGAGACAAAAAGCAAAATGGAAATGGCTGAAAAGGAGAATACCTTCAGTCAGTGTGATGGAATCAAGCAGCCAAATATAAACTTGAAGGAACTTTCTCCCAAGAAAACCGGCAATGAAGGTATTCTACTTGAAACTGAAAGCATGCATTCTAAGGTCATTCAGGGAGACACTGGACAACAAGTCTCAAAGCATTTGTGTCTTGTTGGGCAAAAACTGCCAGAAGAATCCAAAGGAAAGGAAACAAAGACCACCTCCACTTGTGAGTTTAATGGACAGTCTCAAGTATCCAAAGAGACAAAAGTTTTTCCATCATACTCAATTCCACCCAATCTCTCATTAAGTCAGAAGCAACACATGGAGACTCAAGTGAGTCTGGAGGTCATGTGCCGATCAGCTGCAACAAGCCCCATGACTCCACCAGAAGGTTTTGCTGCTGCCTTCTTTCCATACCTGTCTGGGAAATTTGAAAATAGCTGTAAAGAGTTGTCCCTAGTGTCGAAGAAGGATGCAGAGCTCCAAGTGGGAGAAATGGTGAACTATCGATCTGTCGCCACAGCACCTATGAGCCCAATTGTTCTCAGTGCTCCAGAGGACTGTCCAGCGACACAAGTGAAGGAGGTTACACAAGAAGAACAACCAGAACCTGTCCAGGAGGTACGCTGGGATGAGAAGGGCATGACGTGGGAGGTGTATGGAGCAGCTGTGGAGGTGGAAGTCCTGGGCATAGCCATCCAGAAGCACCTTGAGAAGCAGATCAAGGATCATGGAAAGCTTCCTCCACTCTTAGTGTCCACAGCTAATTCCACAACACCAGCTGATAACGATCCTTCACCTCCTCTGTCACCTCCTCCTGTCACAGTGCCATGCAGCAATGTCTCAGTAAAAGAGCCAAGCAAAGCTGAAGAGAAACAGGAGGGAAAGAAAAAAAGGCGCCAACGTAATCCACTTCGCGTTGGATTCCGAAATATGCGACGACCACGTTGTTGCTTCCGCACTAACACAATCGAGTGAAACTGAAAACACCCTCTCCTGTCATATCACAGTTCTTCAGTCTTAAGGAATGCCAATTTGTGTGACAGAAGATTGTGTGAACACATATGAATTATTTTAAACAGAATTTTTGGATTTAGTTTATGTAATCCAAAAATTGCAACATTGTGTTGTCATGACAATGATTTAATGACAGCTGTATTTGCCTTCGTAGTATTGTTTAATTCTGTTTTTTTTAATTTTGATTGGAGGGGGATGATGTTGTATTGCTTAATCAACACCACTATAGAATATTATGAGATGTTATTTTAACTACAAAAATAACATATAACAATCATAAAGTGTGCCTTATTTAGTGCACATTATTTTCTTTTCATATTGGTATGTTTGTGAATTAAATGTGTTGATTCCTGTCCATTTATGAAAATTTTATTTACACATTTTGCAGAATTAAGATTTTGTACATACAGTATTACATGTGTTAGTATATAATATGTGGAATGCTTATGTCAACTATGTTGGGAATATATACAAATCTTATACTATTTCTATCATAGTTGTGCATATATTATTGATTCATTTTGTTTGTTGTTGTTTAAAATTAGCCATTACTTTCTACATAATATACAGTCCAAAGAGTATGTCTTTACAATGTGAAATATAGAAATACAGAAATTGATGGTTAGTGGTTATACCACAAAATTCTAATCTGTAATCTCACACGTGTCGAGAAAAAAATTCTAGAATTCCTATTGGAAATAATAAAACTAAACAAAATCATGGGGCATTTGCTTTGTTTCTGCTTTGCTTTATATATTTATTTATATACTGTGTTTTGACTGTGGACTGTTTTGGCCTTTCTTTTGCTGTTTAAAATGCATCTTTTTAGATATGCTTGTGAAGTCAGAATGTCTGATGCACTTTGAAAGAAGGGAATAACTTGTTTTGTAAAATGCCATAGGTCTTATCAGTTGCATATAACAGTGTAATGTTCTTCTGTTTTAAATTACAGACGTGCTGTGTTTACCTCTCTTTAATTTACAGGTGTGTTGTGTTTATTTCTCAATCAAGGTCTTTACATGATGAGAGTATTGCTCACAGTTGTTACATGTGTGTTAAGTCTTTACAAACAAAAGCATTCATAAGTGGAATGTAATAAAGTTTTACTTGATTTATTGTTCCTCTTATATACAAAAATCATCTACTATGACAGTCATAAAGATTGAACATGTTTTTTTTGTTGTTGTTGTAAACAAGCACACAAGTTGGCCACAGAACATCGAAACTTCAATTGTATTTGCAGCAATTGTGTTAAGACAGATAAAATATGGACTTTTTTGTTCTTGATATTCAAACATGCTTTTCTGTGATGTAAATTTTACATGGTTTACATTTCCTAGTTAAATATGTATATATATATATATTTTCCTTTGCTGTAAGGGTAATTACATTTTCTTACCAGATTTACCTAGTACTGCTATTGTTGTGTACTTAAATTCTGAATAATGTATTGTATGTTTTAAAGTGAAATGAAGTGCTGAACACTGTTTGTATAAATTCTAAAATACTCTTAAATAAAGAAAATGACTTTTAAATGGGAATGTTGAATTTAGTGTGTTCCTGTGTCCCAGCATTCTTTACAATATTAAAACTAGACCATTGCAACTAAATTATAATTATGTTTCCCAAGAATGATTGAATAGCTCTAAACTCAAGTCAGGCTGGTAAAAAATATTCAAACACATTTCAGAAATTTAAGCAAATAATTAATACACTACATTTTGCAAGTTCTGCTAAATGATAATTCAAATTCAAACTACTCACAAAATGTTACACACTGTTTTTGTAATGTGTAATATATGAATAAAATATAATCTAAATCAAATATAGTCTAATCAACGTCTAAGCACCAGATGGAGATTGAATGGATTTTTTTTAACATAAAGGGAACCTAATTCCACATTACTGTCTTGTTTCAGAAGACACACATCTATCTATCTCCGGTAACTTTGTTCTACTCAGGGTTACAAGGGGTCCAGAGCCTATCACCACAAGACAGGGAACGACCCAGAACGGGGTGCCCACCCATCAGAGGGCACACACACCATTCACATCTATGGGAAATTTAGCAAGACTCGAACCCTGGTCCCAGAGGTGTGGGTCACCCACTTCAGAAAACCATACAATCTAATTTAGAAAATGAGGCATTTGGGTTGTGTCTATATAAAAAAACATGTAGCTTTTTCATCTTCTGCAGTCTCCCCTGCCTTACCCCCCCCCCCCAGCCCAACTATATACTTAGATGAAGAGGTTGGAAGACGGATGGATGGAATTTCTTTTTTTTAAAAGTATGTACATAAACAATAACAGTTTCTTCTCATCTTAGTGGGTTTTTCAGAACTGGACAAACATTCCTGTGTTCCCGAGACAACGCTTAAAGGTCAGTGGTGCAAAAGGCAGGATTGTCGTAGCTTTCACCAATATTTGAGGCTTTATTTTTGTCCTGCTGTGCCAAAGTAGCTTCAAGTGGCTCAGTGTTCTTGTTGTCTGGCAGAATGTCACTACCATTCTCCTCATCCTCTTCCTCGATTACCTAACAAGATGCAAAGACATATACATCAATGTCCTTTGTAGTGGTCAGACGTGGCAAAAAAATCTGAATTGAAGTGACTTTTGACCATTGCTGTGCTTCTTTTTGATAGACTTGTTTAATACTAACTAAATTTTGGGGTATGTAAAAGCGGTTTAGGGAGAGAAGATTTTTATTTTTACCATCATTGGCATGATGTCTTTTTCAGTCAGGTTCAGGTCAGCGTTGTAGCCCAAGGAATCAAGGCTAAAGAATAACACACAAAACTAAGGCACAAGTCATAAATCAAACAAACATCAGAGATTTACAGGTTAGTACTAAAACTAGAATCATTTTACTTGATCTCTTTGTGGAATTTAATAGAGCAGATCAATATTTTTTGATTATGCTGACCATTTAAATTATGGAATGTTCTTAGGAAAACAGGTATACCTCAACATTATGAAGAATCTCAGCACTAGGCAGGAAGCCACAATTAGGAGAAAATATGAAGACCCTGGTTTCAGACTGGGGGAGGTGTGAATACTATCACTATGACTATGTAACGTGTAAATACAATGTGTAATGAGAAATGTAGGACTGAAAGAAATCAAAGTCAAGGTAGGCAAAAGAGGCATTAGTAACTTTTGCTATGCTGATGACTATGGATAAATGTAAAGTCCAGTCACACCATCTGTCTATCTACCACAGCCAAGTGTTACGTGGGCATCCCCTTAGCCTGGTCCAGCCGCTTGGGTCCTCAGCAATGAGGATCCTGCGAGCTGGATCTCCCTCAGAGAAACGCATCACCTGACCGTAGTGCCGTAATTGACATTCCCTCACACTGCAGGTAATGTGCCTCATTTGGAAACTCCCTGAGCAACCACTCGCTCAACACAGAGTCAAACCAGCGGTACCTAAGGATTCTCCTAAGAGACACAGGAGTCCAGTCTTCGTCTCAGGTCGCTGGATAGCATCCATATCTTGCAGCCATACATCAAAACAAGGAGCACCAGGACTCTAACATCATCTTGCAAAGATATCTGGAGCACCATTCACCCCTTTGCAACAACCTCATGACTCCCCATGCTCTTCCAATCCGTCTATTGACTTCATAGTGAGAGTCACCAGAGAGTCACTGTCAAGGTAAGCGAACCTTTTGATGTGGTTGACATTCTCTCCTCAGACAGGCACACTGCTGTGCCCAAGAGGTAATTAAAGGCCTGAATTTTATCCAGGACATTTGCAAGCCCAGACACTCAGACTCCTCGCCCAGCCTTTCAAGAGCCCTGATAAGAGTCTCCATTGACTCCGCGAAAATCACAGCATTCATTAGACTCCATGACTCTGCCAAACACCCAGTCCATGCAAGCATTGAACAGCGTAGAAGCAAGAACATACCCCGGACGAACCCTAGAATCAACTGGGAAGTATACATTACTCGCAATGCCAGGAGGACAACCACCAGCTTGGAGAAGTTTACCCCAGATACCACAGATCTGTGCAGCCATCCCTACCCTCAGCTGGTTCACTACCTGTGTAACTTCAGTGTGATTGGGTGGTCCACAGCTAATCGGAAGATCAGCTTGAAGAACTGTGGACCCAGAGATGTCCAATGTCCTAGCTGGAGGGTCAACTTTAAACAGCTGTTCAAAGCAGTTGACTCAGTAGGTAACACTTGCAGTGTCATCAGTAAGGACGTTCCATCACCCGTCCTGAGGAAGACATTCAGATGTGCGTAATGCTTCAGTTCCCCTATAAGCAGGATGTGGGTCGCTAGACCATATATGGTGTGTCACTCGCTCACAGATCCATCTAACAAACGCCTCCTTATCTGCCCTCAGAGCCCTTACAGCCGTCTATCTCAGTTCCCAGTATAGACTGGAGTTGCCATCAAGCCGTGCGCTGCAACTCTTCTCAATAATATCCAGGGTGCCCTGCAAGATGAAACACCTCCTTCTGGGAACACTGGCAACACCAACACAACACTCAGCAACCTTCAGGGTCTTATCATGGAAGGTCTCCCACATCACGTTAGAATAGACAATCGCACCCACTACAAAAGGCTGTTAAGGCTCCTATTTGTTAGTCCTGCTGCATTTTGAGCAGGCACTATTTTGGCCTTTGGAACCATCACACACGTCCCCATGTTAGTTTTTCTTTCCTTTTTCGGCTGTAGCAGAACCTTAAGTTAAAAGGCCGTTGTTCTCCCGAAAGTATTATTGGGTTTATGGTGTACTTGTGCATACACGCAGATAAAGCACAATTACATAATCACCCAACATGCATCTGGACTGCTTTCGCGGAGTGGTACGCTGATGCGCTGTTAACCAGCTATAAAATAACCCCATCAGAGATGTGCTATAATCCAAGTGTTCTGGTCAGACACCTGCACAGGTTGCCAGCGGATGAGAATTAGCTTCCCTATATAAATTAGCACTTCTTTACATCCACGTCTACAAACTGCCTGCAAACACATTAGAAGCAGCTTGACCTTTGAGTCTGACCAGGTCCAGCCTCATTCTCTTCATATGCAGTGTCCTACTGGACCTAAGCTGAATCTTCAGAGTAACAACAATAAGTGGACAGAATTCACAAACTGGGCACTCATGTAGACCCTGCAGATCCACCACAGCAACAGCTACTCCTTGAGTATGGAAGCCATCAGGGTGACCAGACTAATAATAGGTACACCCACCTCCAGAGATCTGGCCACTCCACAGTTTGCATTCCTCAGAGAGTGCCGCCACTGAAATTTGGAGTTTGCAACAGCGACAGCAGAGGAAGATGGTCATCATGCCAGAGTGACAAGACGTTCCACATGCCTACCTTGACAGGCCACCCGAGATTAGTTCCTGAGTGCTGTGCAGGAGGTGACTCCTCAGCACCACACCAGTCCCGATCCCCAACACACCAGTCCCAATTGGCTCTCTGGCAGTTTCGACTTTTCATCCGAGGGCTTCCTCCCATCCCCTTCATCACGCATGCAGCCTTCCTGTGGGTGGCTGCTGCAGAGCTACACTCCCGCAGAAGAGCAGAAACGAGTCCTGTCTGCTTTGCCAGAGCTGTGTGAAGATTTTACTGTGGCTGGAGTACCAATCCCGCCACCAACTCCCACATTTTCCCTGCAAGTTGCAGGACCGCATGCAGGGCTGGATGCAGTTTAACGTCATTCCTTATTTTTAAAAATGTTTGAGTGGTTTGGCCCGTCTATAGTCCCAGTCATTAATCATTCCCTTTTATCAGGTCACTTTCCTTCCTTTTGTAAGCATTCTATTGTTTTCCTTTGCTTTGAAAAGCTTATCTTGCTCCTACCCTACCTGCAAATTACAGGCCTATATCTAGGTTGCGTTTTTTCCTAAAACCTTAGAAAAGGTTGCAGCTGTACCCGTATTAGGTTTATGATAAGTTTCCATCTGGCTTCAGTCAGCTGCACTCTGCTGACGCCTGCGGATGTAGGAGAATGCTTTGGTTTGATGTTACTAGATCTCAGTGCAGCACTAGATACTGTTTATCATCACATTTTGATAAATAGGCTAAACCAGTTAGGTGTTTTGAGCACCGATCTAGTGTGTTTTTCTGCATATTTAATCGAAAGTTAAAAGACAAGTTTTCCAGTCTCTGTTAGTCAGTGTATCTCTGGTTCAGCTGCTCTGTCTTATGGAGTTCCTCAGGGCTCTCTGCTGGGACCGATGCTATGTTTTCATATATGCCCCAAGACAGATAATCAGTAGTCTTAACAGTCCTGTCACTTCTTTGCTGATGATCTTCAGTTGTATCTATCTTTTAAACCTGAAAAATTATCAGTGTTACCAAATTAGTTGATTAATTGTTTGAAAGACATTAAGGATTAGTTGGCAGTTTTTTGTTTTTAATTTAATGGCGATAAAGCACATATTTTGAGTGTTGCTCCTGAAAAAAGTGTCTCTAAAATCAGGCAATTCAGCCCATTTTAAGCAATTTAGGAGAAATCTTTGATCACTCACTGAGTTTTGATTCTCACGTCAGGCTGTTGACCAACTCATGTTG